TATATATTGTAATATATCTATATCACTAAAGCACTTCTGGATGGATGCAAACTGCATTTCGTTGCCCTGTACCTGTGCATGTGCAATGACAATAAAGTTTAATTCTATTCTATTCTATTTTATTCTAACAAGAATGAATGAGCATTTTGGCTGCCAGAAGTGTCTCTCACTCAGTCAAAGGAGCTTGCAAAGAAAAGCGTCTGGACTTCTTTAAGTTGCTTGAAGACGTTTCACCTCTCACTCAGTTTGTCCCAGTAAATCATGACTTTTACTTAATCTTTGAGCCCTCTCTCTGAACCACAGGACTGTCACTCGGGGACATCAGAACATTACACTTTAAATGACAGTATCTTTAAGCTGTTTTATCCATGCATATTAAGCTAAAAGGAATCTATACAAAGTCATTGTTATGCAGCAAATATGTTTGATTGCTAAAGGGTTTTCCCAGTATCTCTTTCATGCTGCTGTCCACCCTTTCAATGGAGTGGATGTTTGCAGGAAGGCTGTATGCTGTTTTTGTATTTGTTGTAATGGACTGGGGAATAGGAGCTATTGTCAGTTCTTTTCCTCGCCTCCTCTCCAAGCAGTCTTAGTCCCTCCAGTCTTAGTCCCTCCCCTTCCTCTAAGAAAGAGACCTGAGGAGAGAGAGGAGTCCAGTCAGCCACTGTAGTGATAAGACAGCTTTACTGCATCGTGTTAAATTGATGTCACTTAAAAAAGTGTGTGGCACATTTGCATCATCTGTCTATTGTCTAATTTCCAGAGCACTGCTGTGTCTTCTGATTACTGATAGATGAGCATATCCATTTTTTGGGCACTCTTACAAATGGTGAAGGGTAGAAAGCTAGACTACATACCTAATCATCTTAAAGAACTAAGAATACAAATTAATGCTGAATTTAGAAATCTCATTATTTGTGTGTTATTTATTACTTGCAACCTTTTGTAGCTCCTCTTCTATGCATTGCAGATAAAACTTACAAAAGTGTACATCATTACAGTGATGCTGACTGGACTCCTCTGCCCTCCAGATGCATTTTAGGAAATGAGACAACCTGTAAGATGCCAAACTGACTTAATTGTTTCAGTCTCAAGATACAGTAGAGATGAGAGACATAAAATTGGGAAACGTGAAAAGCGCAACCTCTTTGCCTCTATATTATGCAAAAGGATAAGCAAATTGGCTGGGATGCCTTTACAGTAGGTCTCTATTATTGGGTTCTCCTGTCGCAGTTGTCCTCATCAGTAAAATGACATAATACTAGTCAGTCTATGAACCATTAAACATTCATACTAACACTTGTATAATAAATTTCTGAATTCAACAGATAAAAGCTTTAAGAACATAACTGACAGATGTTAACTTCTCATTAGAAGTCGACTTGCTTTTTATTAATATAATTTTTTTTAAAAGTAAACTTTGACTGTCAGCAGTATTTTATTCTTTTTGTTCAATTTGTTATTCATTATATTCTATTATTTGTCTAAATATCAGCAGACAAATAATCTGCATCGATGGGATTTTTTTTTTTCTTCAGTCACAGGACATTAACACAGAAACCAGCACAATGTTTCTAATGGGTCACTTACAATGTCATCAGAGCCAGAGGATTTGATATACACTGTTAAAGAATATGGTAATACATTTCAGGTATCTCTGGAAAATTATATTTAAGATATATCTAAATGTTTAAAGTGGATCTCCTTTAGTTACTTATATTCATAAACAGAAGAGAAAGTTAACATAATATAACTTGTTACGTTATGGTAAATGGCCTGTATTTGTATAGCGCTTTACTTAGTCCCTAAGGACCCCAAAGCGCTTTACACTACATTCAGTCATCCACCTATTCACACACACATCCACACACTGGTGATGACAAGCTACATTGTAGCCACAGC